CCCCACACCCACCCCTCCCTTCCTTGCTTCAGTTTTCCTCCAAAGCACTTCTCACTGTGTGATGCACTTGGCTATTTTACTTGTCTTCTTCTACCGTAACATAAGCTCCAGAGAACACATATTTTTGACTGTTTTACTTATTTCTGTATCCCCAATGCCCAGAATAAGTCCTGAACTGCCCCACCTCCCTCTGGGGCTATCCTCATCTTATATTTAAGATACAGCAACTGGAATTATACTGGACAGGCACATTATAGTTTTTTTTTTTTTTGAAGATTTTATTTATTTATTTGACAGAGAGAGAGCACAAGTAGGCAGAGAGGCAGGCAGAGGGAGAGGGAGAAGCAGGCTCTCCACTGAGCAGGGAGCCCAAGGTGGGGCTCGATCCCAGGACTCCGGGATCACGACCTGAGCCGAAGGCAGCCGCTCAACCAACTGAGCCACCCAGGTGCCCCAGCACATTATAGTTTTGAGCCATAACAGCTCTACTTTGTTCTTTTTAAAATTTTTAACTCTTTTCTGGAATGTGCCGCAATCTAATCGTTTTTTGGTTGAAATGACCCAGTAGATGGGGTCCAGAGAAGAGTTTTAATGACTGCTGGGTTATTCTAGCTCAGGAATAATAGCTCAGAATATAGTTTAGATGTTTGCTCTGCTAAAAATACACTACCATCTAATTCCCCATTTGACACTTCACATACCACCCACATACCACCCTTCTGTACATTACAGCTTTGTGAAATATTTATGGTTATTTTCATGTATCAAACATTTACAAGAAAGGGGATGCCAAATGATACCTTTAAAAATAATCCATCTGAACGAATCCCTCTAAAGCTTGAAAGGCAAACCATTTTATCTTCAGAAACAGGAAATGGGAAACAGTACACTGTACAAACTAGAGCCAGCTTTTAATAATCAGCACTTACAGAACTCTACACAACTGTTAAGAAAAGGGAAAAGAACTACAAAGTAATATTCTACTGGCCTTGATAAAAAGTTGGACTAGGACAGCACAGGCTTGTAGGAGTAACTCCAGGGGCCTACCTACTCACCCAAGGGAGTTAAGAAGGGAAAGTGAAAATACTGAGCTACCAATAGCAAAGGTATGTGCCAGGCCCTGGGAAGGGTATTTTAGAGACTCTAATGTAGGGGAGAGTCTCTTTTCCTCCCAGGACCTTGGGGGAGAAACAGTTAAAATAGCCCGAGGCCGATTTTGTTTGCAGAAGGTTGCTTCAGTTGTAGAAAGGCCTAGTTTACTACCACTTATTCATTCATGTACTTATGAACCACTTATTATAGGTCTATCATCATATTAAGAACTGACAGGCAGTCCTGAACAAAGAAAATGCAGGTCTGCAGATTTTTACTGTAAAGGGCCAAATAGCAAACACTCAGGCATTGTTGGCCACGTCTCTACTTCAACTACTCAACTGCCGTTAAAGCATAAAAGCAGCCACAGACAATACATAAATGAATGAGCACAGCTATGTTCCAATATAACTTTATTTATGAACATTAACATTTGAATTTCATATAATTTTCACATGTCACAAAATAGTATTCTTTTGATTTATCAACCACTGAGGAAATGTAAAAACCATTCTTAGCTCACAGACAATAACAAACAAACAAACAAGCAGAGGCCAGATTTGGCCTGTGGGTTATGCTTTGCCAACCGCTGCTCTAGGAGAAAGGAGGCTACCTGATTACAGCAGAGACCTCCCTTGGTTCACCGGAAACATCACAAAAGGACGCCATGGCACAACTGGACTCCAGGGTCCTGGCCAAACTGCATCTCCCTATTTTAAGATGGCTAAGAAGAGAGGTGGTCCTTGCCACAGCTTTGACAAAAGCTACTAAAAAGATCTGAGGAATCCTGTGACTCCACTTCAGCTCTAGGAACTTTCTCTGTCCAGTGGGACTAACAAAATCCTACAAACTAATAACACAAGTTGGTCCTGATGCTTTCCAGGGAGTAAAAAAAACGGTTAAAAGTGAAAATTTTAACTAAGGTGTTGGAATCACTGAGCACAAGGCACAGCTACTGAAGAAGAGGACACTGTGAGACCATCAGAAAGAACTGTCCCCTTAGACAGGGACCCATCAAGAGAAGTGACGGCAGGGGCGCCTGGGTGGCTCAGTCGTTAGGCATCTGCCTTCAGCTCAGGTCATGGTCCCAGGGTCCTGGGACTGAGCCCCGCATCGGGCTGGCTCCCTGCTTGGCGGGAAGCCTGCTTCTCCCTCTCCCACTCCCCCTGCTTGTGTTCCCTCTCTCGCTGTGTCTCTGTCACATAAATAAATCAATCTTTAAAAAAAAAAAAAAAGAAGTGATGGCAGTAACAGAAATCTTTGGCGAATTTTTAAAGCTTTCTTCCCTCACAGCAGTTTGGTTAAATTATGCTCTTTATAAGAAAACTTACCTTTGTGAAGAGAAAGAAGAAAACACTGTAAAAAAACTTAATCTCAGAGTAGTTAATGATCACGGTAATACTCTACACTTGCCGTCTAAAACTCTCTGGCTTTTTCTCCAATCCAGCTTTACTCTGTGAACGGGGGCAAGATGACTATCCTGCCTAAGCCTCCTCTTCTAGTTCAGGAAATGGTTAACACCTTCCCTCAAAAGGGCTGCTGGGGGGATAATGAGACAACAGAGCTGGAGAGTAACATACGGGATATGAAACCCCACTCAAATGTAGTAGGCAAAATTTTTTTTTAAACTTGGGGTTAAAAATAATTGTACCTTTCTTAATAGGACCTAAGACACATATGATCAAGTTTAACTCTTCCTTTTATCATTAAGACCCAAAAGGAATCTGAAACTCACCTGCTAACCGCACGTCCAACATTCGTCATTGCTGACGTCATTATTTCTGTGGTAAGGCTCTCAGCAAAGCTAACGCCATCTTGTCCAATTCCGCTATCAGCCACCAAGCTGGTATTGCTCACCTCTCTCTCTGCTTTTTCAATAGCTTCAGCAACTATCTTCTCAGCAAGCACCGTCTTCTTATCGAGACCAACATGAATTTGTGGGACATCAAGATGAAAAATTCTAGATTCCTGATAGACATTGCTAAGTTTTGAATTAGAAACTGGCTTACTACTAGCAAGTGAATCCTGTCTGGAAACGTGCAGAGATGAATTTCCAGTGCAATCGTGCAGTTCTTTACGGCCACAGTATCTGCAAGCTTGGCTTATAAGAGGTGACAACTTTTGCCCATGAGTGACCCTATCGGCTGCTTTCGTGGACTCAGACACATGGAAAACTGCGGATCCTAAACTTAGCTCTAAAGTGTCATCCACTACTTTCTTAGCATACTGCTCTATAGCTTGAACGACATTCTCTCCATAAGCAGACCCATTTAAGCTGCCCGTACTGTGGTAAATTCTGTGACTTTGTGAGGAAGGTTGAAGAGACTGAAGAAATTCTGGCTCGATGTGAGACTTGGTATCTTCATCACATCCAGGCTTTTCATAAAGGCAAGAATCTGTTAAGGATTTTGGCAAGCCACCTGCAGATGCTGTCAGCTCTTTTGTAACATCTCTTGTTATGCTGTGAGCAAGAGAGGTTGAAAAACTATACAGTTCAGAGCACTCATTTTTATATGTATCCCGTGTCCATTCACAAGTTTGATTTTTACAAAGGTAACCTCCGTTTCTTTTACTTTGTCGTTCTTTATCTACTTCTTGGTGGTGTTCTTTGTTTAAGAACTTGAACAGTTCATTCTTGGTTCTTACCTGTGAGCTTTGCATGGGGAACATTTTTGAGCTGCACTTCATTTTGGCGGTCTTAGCGGCTTCTTGTAATCCTGATTTAACAGATCGATAAGCAAGTCTGTTGGCATACTGGTCCATTATTAACTCACTATTGCCGCCCTCCTGTTTTAGCACTTGGATAATGTGACCCGCGTACTCGTCTGTCACGCTTTCACAGCTGGGATACTTGTAGGTCAGACCAGACATACAAGAACTTGGTGGTAATGAAAGAATGAATGGCTGTAGTTCTCTTGAGTGGGCTACAGCCTCTCCATCCAACTTCTCTTCTGATCTATCATCTCGGCCCCCATCAGCGTAACAACTGTTCTTTCTTTGCCTGAAAAGCACACAACTTCTAACTTTTGCTATTTTCTCAGCTTCCGTAAGGACTTCGGCGGCCAGATCACCTGCAAAATTGCGTAATGTTTGTAAATTTTCCTCTGAGCAATTTAAAACAGTAGGTGACACACTTCTTTGATTTTGTGAGTTTAAGCAAGGGCTTTTTGCCTTGGGTTCTTGAATGACTTTATTATCTAGGTGGGAAGCTGCCATTTCTGTTGCGAGAGAGATGATGTGGGTAGCTAATGATTCTGCAAACTTAACTTTCTTCCCTGAGTGCTCAGGCTTCACATCCACTTCCGGATGCTCTTCATCTTCACTACTTTCAACTTCTTCTGAAAGAGATCGCATGAGTTTCAACATGAACTCTTCTTTTTCTATCGTATTTTGTTCATTTTCAGACAAACTACCCACAGATGAGTTGTGAGGTGTAGAGGGAGGTGTAGCAGGTGCAAATTCTTTTGCTAATTCCCCCTTGAGTTTTTTGGTTAACTTCTTGATATCCCATTCCGAACTAGCCTGGGATGGTACCAGAGGAGTGGAGGGAGGAGTATCAGGTATTACATTTCCATCTCTAATTTTCTGTTTATCTTCCACATGCAAACCATCTACACATGGAAGCACCGTGGATGGGTAAGTATGTGAATGAGGAAAAGGATGTTCTTGCCCGAAAGACAAGGGCTCAAGTGCTGTATTATTCACATTATGCTTTTTCACAAATTTGTCTTTAGCAACTTCCTTCAAATCAGGTTTCTGACCTGCAGCTGTTGGACAAGGTGGTAGTGTGTCTAGAGAAGAGCCGTGAACCGATGAACCTTTACATTCTGGAACACAATCCTTTCCTGCTGAAAGTGAACAGTGGGTTAAGTGATCTTGAGCATCAAGAAATTTGGGGAACTTTTCCAAGGTCAAGTGTGACTCTTCTCTGGAAACAGGCAAGCCTTCCTTGGGTTCGGCATTTTTATCTACATTTGGGATCGTTGATTTGCTTTTATCTATGGAATGTTTAATAATAGATTTTGATAACTGATCAGCAAACATGTCCTTATTGCTAGCTTCACTCTGTTGCAGTGTTGCTTGATCAGAGTGGAAAGGAAAGGGCTTTCCCTTTACTGTTGTAGTTACCCAATCTGCGTGTTCATCAACTGTTTTTGTAACTTTGAAGGATGTCATTGACTCTAACGTTTCATTTACAATCGTATGCACCATTGCTGCAGAAAAGTTGCTAATAATCACAGGATCGCTTGTTAATTTTGAAGAGCTCTGCATTTCGATGTCCTCATTTGTTGGTTTAAAATCTTTCTGGTTACCTGGATTGTGGTCTGAGGGTAAACAAATATTTCTGAGACACGCCACTTCCTCTCCTCTGTTTTTTGTGGTAACACGTGTCTGGGTAGAATCACCATTCAAATTAGTATCATCAGACGACCGATGAGACTTTGCCGGATATATGTTAGATGAAATATGATTTGGGAGAAGGGCACTTCCTGCCAAGGGCACTGGTATAGAAGTAACAACTCCAGAAGTACAAAACAAGGCCTGCTGTACTGTGTACTCCTTTTTATAGTCCTGCATGGGTCTTGCCGCCGTAACGGTCTGACTGTTAAAACCAGGAGAAGACATGGAGGTCTGTGTCGACGGCACTAAATTTTCTGTGCTCGCACACTTTATGTTATCTGTAGAAACACTCACTGCTGCCTTGGTTGTGAAGGTCACATCGACCTGCGAAAGCTCAATAAACGCTTCCTGTATTACAGACTCAGATAAGTCTTTTGCATAGGACTTTACCACTCTGTCTTCACAGTCCGACGACCAACACTGTGGAGATGCGGGTGTTGGAGGATAGGAAAACTGACACACTTCCATGATGCCTTCAAAAACAAGCTCTTCAGCAAGATCTGCAGCAAACCTAGCAACTGTGTTTGTGAATATCTGCTTCTTTACATACTGTAAATCCTGTAAAGCATTTGCTAAAGCTTCACTCACCAAAAAGTTAGCCAGACCGCTAATGGCACGTTCTCTCAGTGAAAATGCACACTGCCTTCTCAGTTCATTAAATGCTATCTGAAAAACGGAGGTTGTCAATTTGATGGCTAAGTGACACAGTGCATTGGTACATGAAGACATTCCTTTCTGTAAGTCTTTAAATGCACTGCCAAAACTCTTTTCCACAAGATCTGATGCAAATTTCTGAATGCTATCTTTAATCATCAAGGATTTATTTTTAGATTTACTTTTTTGATCAAGGCTTTCACTCTTAAGAGCTATGGTTTTATTTTCTCCCTTTTTAATACTATTCATGTTTGAGGTTACATTAGTGGGTTGGGCATGAAGAACAGAGCCCAGTACCTCACATGAAATGCTATGGGCATAATCCTCAAAGGTGTAATAAATAGAATCATGATTTTCATGACTCCTATCTCCACCAATATCTGTTTGGCAAAAACATTCAGCAGGAGCACAGCCTCCAAGAGGACTAAAGGCAGAGGATCGAATAGGGCTAAACAAACCGCTGTCTTCCCCTGACGCCTTCACCGGGCGAGGTGAATCTGGAGCATCACACAGGTTACTGTAAGGGGATTCTGGTTTACGAGGAGTCGGCTTTCTAACATTAGCTGGGAGAGCTGGACGATCAAACTTGAATTTTTGAGGATTCATAGTAGTGGTTACAGAACAAGATTTTTCATGTTTGTGTCCTTTCTTTTGTGATGTCTTTCCTAGGACAGGATCTTTTGAAAATGGACAAGAAGTCTCTAAAGTTTGCTCTAGTTCATCAAACTGATCAAAACTATCAAAAAATTCACTTACTTCTGAGTCTGAATCCTCTATATCATCTTTCATCACAGGAATTTTAGGTAACTCAAGTTTTGCTTTTAAACTTTTCTGATAACCCTCTTCATCCAAGAAAATAACAGGACTTGGACTGGAGCATTCGGATTCAGAGGAGTAGGCAGGAGAAGAAGAAAAAAACGTTTTCTGTGCATCACTACCTTTATCTGAAGCATTAGATGACCTGTAGAAACTCTTTTGGATCCAAGGCTCAGAAATTAATGTGGTGACTGAAGTTTTCACAGAAGGTAGTTCTTTATGTCCCAGCATATTTATTAAGGAAGTTGAAGGTTTAGCCAATGACTTCTGCCTCCCAGAGCTAACCAGAATCCTTAAATCATGGGTTTCTAAATGGTGACCAGAAAAAGTCTGAGAAGCAGCATCACATTGGCTCTTTAGTGCAGTAATAGTTATTCCTATAGGAAAAGAATAAGATGATCAAATTATTCTTGAACAGAATCTTTTGAAAATTAATTTATATCAATGGGAATAAGTAGACTTTAAGCATGAAATATTTGTACCGTAAGTGTCTTCTACACTATGTGGTTTACCAGATTCATCCCAAATCACACTTGAGAGCAAATATACCTTTTACTAAAATAATTTCATTTTACCTCACATCTGGGAATACCTGGTCTATGAAATGCTTAGCTTCTTGTCACATGTGTTAGGAAACACTAATATGGTCCCTCCACCAGCTAACTCTTCTCAAATTTGAACCCAGGCATGGTCCAACCACTTAATGTAATGAGGTAAACAGTGCTTGAACAGTACCACCAAAATAAGAACAGAAATAGCAAAACTAAGAACCAGATAACAATTTAAAAATCAAAAGGAAATGAATTCCTTGCATAATCAAAAAAAAAAGAAGTTAAGATGTTTACATCGCATCAAATTTCAAAATGAATTTAATTGAACTCAGCCTGAAAACTTTTAAAACTGAATGTTAAACTTTTTCAAGAAAAAGTCTAGTAAAGAACAAACCATCATTATATGGCTTTGAGGTCTCTTCTTCCTCTAAGTGCTCAAAAGCAGTGACAAAGTCATCCTCTATGGAAGACACGGACTGGTTGGTATCATCATCATCTTCCTTAGCAGTCTCAAGTTGGCGCTTCTGATGCAAGTATGTGTCCAGGGTATATCTTATACCAGTAGCATATTTACTTAGGAGACTAAAGATAAAATCAATTCTGAGTCTTGGTAATGTAGGTGACACTCTCATGACACAGAGCATTCCAGAATGCTGACTCTTGGGAAAGATGAAAGTTTAGATAAAAATAATTTTACTTTCAAAACATATTATACATACAAAGCATATTATCTGGAAGTGAAGCCTAGAAATAACACAATCTCAGGGAAAAAAAAGAAATGCATGCATCCTGAGAGGCTCCCTGGTTTTGTTCATTCTTTTCATTCTTTCTCTACATTTCTCACTTCCCAATCACTTTTTCTCCCAATCTTTTTCTCGTCGCTACTCAAATTCCACCTATTCTATCTCCTGAAATGTTACAGAACTTACTATCCATATCTCTGGCAATTATGTTTTCCTATATTATTATATAGCCACATGAGTTTCCTTGTTCATTAACCTAGCTCACCAACCGTAAACTGCTAGAGCTACGGCAGGAACCAGGTTCTATTCTATTTTTGTATCCCATTTTCCAGTAGCTTCCAGCAGGATACCACCTTCCCTATCATAAAAGAAACTTCCCCTCCTGAAAAATGAAGGGGGGGAAATCGGAAGGGGAGATGAACCATGAGAGACTATGGACTCTGAGAAACAAACTGAGGGTTCTAGAGGGGAGGGGGTGGGGGG